TCCAGTTGTTTTGTGTTGTGTTTGCGTTTGTAGGTGGCGGTGGTGTCCAGGGACGAGGTGGGAGCCTACAAGCCTTACCTGTGGGAACAGAGCTGCTTCGAGAAAGGCCCTATGTTCCGTGAGTGGCTCCTTACCAAGATCGTCAACGGGGAGAGAGCTTCATATTCAGCACCCAAGTTCGCTCGCATGCAGGACCGCACCCGCTCTCAGATGCTAGAGGATCTGGTCAACAACCTCCAGAACCATGCTGAGACTGGACAGATTCCTAAACCTTACAGGTAGGTGGCGTCATCTTGGTGGTAGTCTCTGGTCCCAGATCTTACGTGCAGGAGTGTCAGTTCGCTAGTCTCTGGTCTTGTGATTAGCGGAATGACCAACTCGGGTTTAGCGCTTTATATGAAATAATTGTATTCATAAATCAATCGATGGATACCTTACGTAGACGGTGTCATCTCACTAGAACGTGGCAGCAGAAAGTAACCTGTGCAGGAGCAACACTTCATGCGCCATCTTGTTATCTCTCTCATTATTTCCACTCCACATGTATATCTTGTACTGGTTTTCCACACATTTTTGTTCAGTTGGAGAATGCCACGTTGATAAAATGATTCCACTGTGCTTGTAAAATAGTTGCACTACATTTTAAAATATTACTTTTTGCAGGCATCATTCACTGCATGGAGGTGGCCCATACCTCGCCCCTCCCCCCCTCTTTAAAACATTATTTATCTACACTCTGTCATTCTTCCACATATTAGGCCATTTTTAACCTTTAGGTCAGTATTGTTTTCAGTCACAACACTTAGCTAATGTCATCATATTTATTACAGTATCACCTGACTGTGACGAATTAGACACATGGCAACATCCTTATTTGAAGACTTTCTGTCAGCCAGTGTTTTTTTTTTCGATACAGAGATGATATACGAAGACAGTAGATGAGGTAATCAGTCCCTCAGCCTGAGGGACTGATTACCTCATCGTCTACTGTTGTGTGCATGGTTGTGCGAGGCTTCGGGAATGATTATCTGATCTTAAAGTTTCTTTGTATATCATTTATGTATTGAGCTGAGTTGGCTATTATTATTACATTCACGGGGGAGCGCTAAACCCCCTAGGAAAGGGGAGGCAGTCAGATTCGATTCAGGTAAAAAAAAGAGATAGCTTCAGTTCTTTGGATCAGAATCCCTTTATGAGCATCAAGGTACTGCTTCAGATGTGTGCTGCTTCAGCAACTGTGCTTTCAGACGTGAAGCGCACCACCTCATCATATATTCATTTGTTATCGCTTTTCTCTTAAATATTATGTATTATGTTGTGTATAAATGGCTGCTCCGCCGACATGCACATAATGGTACTAACACTTCTGGTCCACAGACGTGGCTCCTGGCGACCTATCGGTCACATGCGTCCTTCGTCGCCACTGCTGGACTCAGTTCGCGACCTATTCGAGGGCCACGACCAGCTAGCCAAAGACTTCACCCGTGCCTTCCACAACAGCGAAAACCAGTTCAACAATATTCTCTACGACGTCACTTTCCTCGTCGGTGCCGGCAAGGAGAAGTGCAAACTCTACGGGGTTAGAGCCATCCTTGGTGTCCGCAGCAGGTGAGAACCTTCACAGCGCTAATTGATCTCTCGAGAACGGCTGAGTTTGGAAGCATTGTCAGAGCGAGGAATCTGGGCACTATGTACCCCCCCCCATCCCACCCACCCTTCAGCAAGTTTACATTTTGCCGTCTTTATACACCGGTACCGATATTCTTTCAATTACTTGTTCAACACTTCTACAATGGAGTCATATAAAACTGATTTTCTATTAGGCCTAATTCAGGTAAATTGTATACCTTTTAACTTTATTTTTAATACGCTGAATATGACATAATATCTTTTAACTTACTAATGGGTATTTGAAAAGTATCTTTTTTTGATTTTCATGTATTTGAGGCGCATCATAGATGAGTGACCCGGGCAGCTGGCCAGCTGGCCTTGACCCTTAGTCTGCCTCTCTCAGTTATTCCAGATTTAGAGATTATTACTTCTATAGAGATAATTCCAGTGGTTTTATTCGCTGAGAAACTTCTGGTTCTTAGGACTTTGACTAACACATTAAATATATATGTAAACTCAAGATAAGTCGTAATGAATGACTATCAGTCAATAACAACAAGAATACACTGGAATTCGGATCGTAGCAACACAAGTGCTGTCTGTCTGGCGCAGTGTTGGACCTGCCACATGCCAGGACTACCGTTTGAATCCCCGTCCATTCTTGTGTTGATTATGGCAGTTACTGTATGAGCATGTCTGTGTTACGCAGGGTGTTCCAGGAGATGCTGTACGGGTTCAGTACTGGCTTCGGCTCACCACAGGTCTCAGTAGCTGACATACTGGCGCGCGCCGTCCCCACTCTCCACTCTCCCTCGCACAAGCCTAAGAGTTCCAACTTCCTCCAGTGAGTAACCCTGGGCTCTCTACTTCCTCCTGTGACTAACACGGGCTCTCTACTTCCTCCAGGTAAGTAACCCTGGGCTCTACTTCCTCCAGGTGAGTAAACCTGGGCTCTACTTTCTTCCAGGTGAGTAACCCTGGCTCTCTACTTCCTCCAGGTGAGTAACCCTGGGCTGTACTTCCTCCAATGAGTAACGATGAGCTCTTTCCCTCCCTTATATAAATCTGGGAGCACCAGTATCCACGAACTCTCTATTCTCTCATGCGAATCTGAGAGCTTAAATCTCCCTACAATCTATACTCATTTAAATCTGAAAGTTCAACCCTCCCTAATCTCTCTATTCTCATGTAAATCTAGGAATTCAACCCTTTCCTGAGCTCTCTATTCCTTCATGTAAATCAGAGAATTCAACGCTTCCCTGAGCTCTACTCCCTCGTATAAACGAAAACCCTTAGGCTATTTTCAGTGTGAATCATTGCTGACATGACGGCTGTACCAACAGGTGCCAGACATCGAGACTCCGCGGCCCAAGAGTGTGCCCAACTCACCCATCGTGATGCGCGCCTTCTCCCGCTTGGGCACCCTCACGTCCGGTTGGGGCAGGTCCTCCAAGAAGCACGACCGCTCTCCGTCGAGGACAAAAAGAAGTGGGCGTCCTCACAAGACTGCTCAGGTGAGTAAAGGTCTCTCACCCTTCCTCCTGTTGTTAAACACCACTCACAGACTTCTTGTGTTAATGAAGTTTGTCCACTCCATCTCAGTGTCATTCAATTAATATTAAAGATTATATACGATTTTTTTAGAATGTTTGATCAGAGTCCCAGTAGATAGAAACAAACATGCTAATCACTTCTTGATTTTTAAATGACTTCTGGAAGCTAGTTGGTTAAAAATGTTCAGATATTTGTATGTGGTTTAGCAAAGTATTTATTGCTAGTGTGTCCTGTTTTATACTCACTGTGAAGTATTCCTCTTGTGAGATGCCTAGTACAACTCGTCCACCAGGCTGTGAATATTTAATGCGAAAATGGTCGGTGTACTAATGTTGTTTCATTGAAGGTAAAGCAGTAAACTAGGAATGGGCGGTAATATAACTTAATCCAAGAAGAGGATGATCGCTCCAGTTCCCTGGTCAAAAGACCTTCACCAGTAACGAGGCATCCCTCTTGCAGGGTGTGGTAGGTGCAGTGAACGTTTGGCTGCCATGATGGCTGTCCACAAGTGGGGACAGTTGATGTACGAGTTAAATACTCTGCTTGTATTATATTCCTTTGTCTACTTGTTTTGTTGACACGCAGATGTGTAATAGTAAGGAACTTAACGGTAATGTCAGTGATGAAGTAAGTGGTGGGAAGAAAGCAGAGAAGACACAAAGTGAGAGTGTTAGGAGTGTTATGGGAAGTAAGAGACCATTGGAGAAAGCAGATCCCTCAGTAAGTGTTTTGTTTGGTTCTCCCAGCAGGGAAGGATGCAAGGAGCGGCAGGGAGACAAGAACGCCCTGGCGGGCCTCGTCTGAGCGTGTGTGCTGACGGAGGCAAGGTGGACCGTGCACCCTCTGTCAGGCGGAGGTACGTGTGAATGGTGCCACAGACCACGAACGACGCCAGACCCAAGTACGGTAAACCCCACACTCGTGCACGCCCACACCCTCCACACACGTGTGTACGCCCTCACGTCCACCACTAATCGCTGCGGGTAGGCACTCACACGTACACATAAACACACGTTTATGTGTTATACTCACACACATATGCACCATAACTCCAATGTGGATAGCACTCGTTGTCCACATTCCCAGGCTCTTACACATTACCTCGCTGCTACAGTCACATGGACACGCAAAACTCTCAAGCTACGTACACGCTAAAGCTCTCAAGCTACGTACACGCTAAAGCTCTCAAGCCACGTACACACAAGAGCTCTCAAGCTACGTACACGCAAAACCTCTCAAGGTACATATAAGCATATGCTCTCAAGCCACGTTCAAGCATAAGCTCTCCATTTACGTACACCCATAAGGTGCCAAGGCACGTACTTCAACAGGTCCACAGCAGATCACTGCGGACAGGACCTCGCAACCATATTGGGAGAAACTCATCTGGGTATGTACCTGCCCTGTGCCCCCAACCTCACCAACATGCCCAAATCATTGCTCCCTTCACAGTGTGATCCTCTTCCCGTCTCCACAATCCTTCGGATCTGATCCTCCGCGCCCCATATTTACCTTCCATACCGTTCTTTCTGTTTGCACATCTAAAAAATTAAACGAGGATATTCTTTTTGCACACCATTATGAAAATTATTAATTATATTCCATGGGAAACGACAAGCCTGTGAGGGTCATTTGGTACCTGACCTTTAATATAAGAAGGCGATACAGCTATGTAAGTTTTAATGCATGCGAGAGAGAAGAGTAAGTGATAGCTTACCGTAGGATGTTGCAACGAGGACAATTTTAGCAGTTACCCCTCGTTAATTGCCAGTTTTGTTTATTGTTTATTTTAGAACACAGTGAAGATTAAAGTAACAACTTCCAGGGAAGACAAAACCCTCACGTTTTACAGAAAATGTTTCATATGAAATAACTTAACCCCTGCTGATACAAAACATACGTAGGAACTCCAGCTGTATATGACTTGTCATCACGTTCCTGATACAATAATAATAATAATAATAACTAACATTTATAAAGAATGCATATTTGGATGAATCTTACTAGGCTGGCATGGCACAGTGGATAACGCACTGGCCTGCTAGTTTTAGGACTGGCTTGCCATGGGTCCAAGCCCCACTCTGTTAATTGAATTGCTTACAAGCGTGTCATCATTATTTCGTAAGTAATACCTATAATAATGTTACCTGTAGTCCCTGTTTATAATGTCACCCCTGGCTGGCTGGACGTATACCAAGCGAGCCTCTGGAAGTCCGTCACTAGGCGGGAGATTCCTAACAAAGCCAGGGACTCACTGGCTAGTGCTAGGCTAAAAAAAAAAGACAGGTTACAGGACACGACTGTTAGACAACCTTTCGTTGCGAGTAGTTTTATCAAGTAACGTTGTCCCAAAGAGAATTTATTCTGAGATATTTGATTTCACTTCTGTCGTAGTGTTTTCTCACGAAGTGTCTTCAGCGAGCATTTATCCGGCTACGATAACTCTGTGTATTCATCAGTAGCACTCTTGTCCCGCCGTGCAGCCTCCTATGACCCTTACGGGCTTACCAGTTCTCGAGAGTATAATAGAATTGTTATTATTGAATGGCTTAGAAAACCGACAGGTAGATGACTGAGACACTCTTTCGGCATTTGGGAATTTTTTTGGTGAACAAAGAATCCCCAGGTGTTGTACAAGTGTCTCAAGAATTGTGATTAGTCTTTTCACATACACTTGCAACAGAGGCAGCAAAACAGGTCACAGAACGGGTTGGGCTTTGAACCCTTAGCAGGAGAGTCTTGAAACTCCCAGGGCACTGTGCTAGCCTAACGGGCCTTATATTACCTGTGTGTTGCAACCCCAGCAGCACCTGTGTTGCAACCCCAGCAGCACCTGTGTTGCAACCCCAGCAGCACCTGTGTTGCAACCCCAGCAGCACCTGTGTTGCAACCCCAGCAGCACCTGTGTTTTCAACCCCAGCAGCACCTGTGTTGCCCCCCAAACTCACCCAGCAGCACCTGTGTTGCAACCCCAGCAGCACCTGTGTTGCAACCCCAGCAGCACCTATGTTGCAACCCCAGCAGCACCTGTGTTGCAACTCCAGCACCACCAGTGACAACAGAACAATACCGACATACGAACGCTCATGACTCCTTCACCCGTGGAAGTCAGCCCAAGCCTGTCCTACCATAACTACAAAAAATAACTCGAAATCCGCAATTACTAGGATTGTTCTAGGACTTCTTTTGTGAACAAACTGATAACTGCTACATGAAAGGCGTGTGAAGCAATGTTTGTGAGTTGTGACTTGGGTCAGGTGAGGCAAACTGGTCACTCTTGTAGACTCTTGATTATATGGGAGCTTTAAATATGGATATGCCTTTACTAAAATATTTTATTACTTGTTTACTAAACAGTATATTATGTACTTATAAATAACCTTTATTCCAATTTTTTTGTTTTGTTTTATATTCGTTTCAACAGAAACTGACTGAATGTTTGCCTGTAAATGAGTGCAGAGGATCCCCCCTCTCCTTTCTCTCTCTCCCTCTCCCTCTCTCCCTCCCCCTCTCTCCCCTCTCCCCTCCCCCCTCCCCTCCCCCTCTCCCTCTCTCCCCTCTCCTCTCCCTCTCTCTCCTCCTCTCCTCTCCCTCTCTCCCTCTCCCTCTCTCCCTCCCTCTCCTCTCTCTCTCTCTCTCTCTCTCTCTCTCTCTCTCTCTCCTCTCTCTCTCTCATCACTCTCATCTCCCCTCCCCTCTCTCTCTCATTTAAAAGCATCCAGTTGGTGGATAATTTGTCACATGTCACTGCATAAATAATTTGGTTTTAGCATGGTAGAACAAGGATAAAACAGCGTATGGCAACCCTCACCTTTGTCATAGATATACGTGGGAGGAACAACAGTGCTGTACCCAAACTGTCTAAACGCACACCTCTACTTTGTAACTAGCCCCCAGGGGCGCACCTACACCCTGGGAACTGTCTTATGTATTTAGCTGGTCTCTAGATAACAAGTACCAGAGAACCTTTACTCCCCAGCCTTCTCCTCCCCCAGAGTCATGGTCTAAAGTGTACTCCAGGGTTTTGTCTAGAACCCCCAAGCACCTGTCTTCTTAGCTTCAGATAATTCCTGGAAGATACCTAGACCCAAAAGGCAGATATTATAGCTGGAGTCAACCCAACATTGGAATTTCTGTATTCTTGTGCTTGAATCCTATAGCTCTAAACAAAGTTATACAGACTCGTCAAAATTCCAGGCTTGAATCTGTAGGCTAACCTAGACCAAATGGTGGATTGTGTAGAGCCTCAGGAACTAAGATTTTGCTTGTGTAAGCTCTGAGGTGTGGGCTCGGCTACACACTCGGGCAGTAGAGCTCACCTTAAACACTGCTACTAAGTCCTGAATGTTGTGTGTCATGTGCTTGTTGTGCTGCTTTCCCCGCTGATTCCTGTTTTTTCTTTCTGCTCTTTTTATCGGTGCGTTGATTTTTAAAAATAGTATACTGTAAATGGCAAAACTACAATGAACAGACCTAAAGCCAGTTTTCACAATTATATTTCAATATTGCTTTTGTGGGAAAACCCCCAATTTGTAACGAATTATAATGTAATTATCGTTCAGGACGAATTTAAAAATTTGGAACTGATGCGATGTTTGATTCTGCAGTTTCCCTTTTTTCTGTAATTAACAGTTTTCCAAAAATTTATATTACGGTTAGAGTCGCTTTTTATGACAGAATAAAAAAAAAATGTTTTCATTGCCTGTTCCAACCCTTATAACAGTCACTCCTCAACCCCAATGGGTTCAGTGCCTCCAGCAAATAGTCACACACACTTTATTCAAACTTTTGCCCATTTCACTTACACATAATTTTTTTTTTTTTGATATTGCTTGCGTGAGTGA